CACTGGTGTCACTGCTGTGCCCCCCCAGGAGCGGGTGGACCCCCAGGCAGCCAATAACCCCGACCTGCACCTGAACCGCGCCACGGTGAGTGACCCAACCCCAACAACGGCCCAAACCACCCAAAAACGGCCCAAACCACCCAAAAACGGCCCAAACCACCCAAAAACGGCCCAAACCACCCAAAAATGGCTCAAACCACCCAAAACTGGCTCAAACCACCCAAAAATGGCTCAAACCACCCAAAAATGGCTCAAACCACCCAAAACTGGCCCAAACCACCCAAAAACGGCCCAAACCACCCAACAACAGCTCAAACCACCCAAAAACGGCCCAAACCACCCAAAAACGGCTCAAACCACCCAAAAACGGCCCAAACCACCTAAAACTGGCTCAAACCACCCAAAAATGGCCCGAACCACCCAAAAACGGCCCAAACCACCCAAAAACGGCTCAAACCACCCAAAAATGGCTCAAAGCCCCCCAGAAGACAAACCAGCCAATGGGGTCACACTGGGTGTGGCCGCCCCCAAACTGCACCAATTGGAGCCCAGGGGGCGTGTCTCAACATGCTAATGAGCCGTTAACGAGCTCATTAACCCCCCTCAGCTCCTGCAGTACCTGGAGCGGTTCCAGGCGGCCCTGGAGGGCCTCAGCCGGGCCATGACCCTCGACCCCACCTGGGAGGAGCCCCGGAAGCGCCACCGGAACCTCCTGGAGTTCCTGAGCCGCCTCTGCGGGCTGCTGGAGAACAGGGTGGGACTGGGGGGCACTGGGAAAGGATTGGGAGGGACTGGGGGGCACTGGGGGGGATTTGGGGGTGACTGGGAGGGACTGGGAGTGACTGGGGGGAACTGGAGTGACTGAGGGGAACTGGGAGGGACTGGGGGTAACTGGGGGGCACTGGGAGGGACTGGGGGCACTGGAATGGACTGGGAGGGACTGGGAGGAAACTGAAGGGACTGAGAGTGACTGGGGGGAACTGGGGGCACTGGGAGGCACTGGGCGGCACTGGGGGGGTTCCCAGTGGGCGTGTCCCTGTCTGACCCCGCCCCTCTCCCCCCATCCAATCAGGGGAAGCTGCGGGGGAAGCGGAGGCGGGGCCTGGCGGGGCCGGTGCCCCTCCCCCTCCTGGGCCCCCTGGGGGG